CTTCAGTAATGCCCTACATCCTGCCTAAAGAGGTTGAAACTTCTGCAAAGAAATAGGGAAGAGGGCTGTGGGCCAGGCATCTATCAGAAATTTTACTTCCCTCGTTATTAGCGTGAGTCTTATCTTAATTTTCTGCTTGGCAGAGTAGCATTGTAAGTGCAAAGGAATGTTTAACTATCAACACCTGCCTTTCTCAGTTCAAAATGCCAGAAGGTTTAGCAGGGATTCTGAAGTCCATGAGCCACTTGAGGTCAGATCTTGGCCTTCATTTGAGGGCTCTTGTTTGCAATGAGTATCAGCAGAATTTGGTGCTTAATGAGGCCCTCCAGGTTTTTTCTCTTGTCAGTGCTTTGTTATCCTGCTTAAGCATCAAATATGGTAAAAGTTAAGTTTGTTTTGGTTCACATATGTTTTCCTAAATTGCTGCTGTCTTCCCAGTAACCTGCAGAACAGGGTCCTTCATGTGCCTCAAATACGTATTTTTTTTTAATACATTGAATGTCATTTTACCTAATACCTGTGCTCTATTAACATAGCCATTGTTCTTCTTCAGGTCAAATTAGGAAATTTTGAACACGAAGTCAAACCAACATCATCACACATATATTTATATGTTCTTATTTTGCTGCCTATTGTAGTGGGTGTGATTATAGGTGAGTACAACAATGTGTTTTCAGTTTTTGATTTGCTGAAGGGTATAATCGTGACACATAAACACACGCATCCGTGGCTGGGACTGTCACAAACAGTCTGGTGGTTTTCCCCTATTCCCAATAAGAGCGAACAAAGTTAACTGTGGTCTGGTGGTGAAGTCCATCTTGTCGCACTACAGCATGTTACAGGGCAGTAGTTTTGGCTGTTGTGCTGGGGTTTCTCACCACCATTTAGTGAGGAAAGCCATGGGACTGACATCCTTGTGTCATAACCTGGGTTCTTCCAGCTGTCAGAGCTGGGCTCCCATCCCAGCCCTGGGGCAGATGTTCCCTAACAAACTAATCATCCTCCAGCAGTGTCTGTGGTGTTAAATAGTTATCCCTTCATCTTTTTATCACTCCTTTTTTCTAAATGTTTGGTCCTGGTTACATACTTGATAAATTTCCATTTATTGTAATAAGTTTGGGGGGTTGTTCTTTTGTTTGTTTGGGTTTCTTTTTAAAAAGTGCATTACCTTTACAGGAGCCATATCTCATGCCTTTACTCTCTCTAAATAAGCTCTGGAGAATTTAACAATTTGGAAGTGGATTTTCTGTTCAGAAGAACTGTTTTTCTTGTTTAACCAACCTACTTTAAGTAGGTTTCTAGTAGTTGAAGTGGTTGTTAGATTCTGTGTCTTACTGTGAAGGCTGTACATAGCAGGGTGTGCTGTACTTTCAAATAAAGTTAGATTGACAATTCCAAGACCTTGTTACACGGAATGTTTTTTATTAAACATGTGGGTTTAGATCTAAATAACTGGGGCTCATGAGTACTAGCACATTGACAACAGCAGAAACAGTAATCCTCCTGGAGAGTGCAAGTGTATTTTGATCTTTCTGTTTCTTAAAATAATATTAAAGTATGTCTTGTAGAGGGTTTGTCTGTTCTGCACTTGCTCTACTAAGAATCTTTTTTTCTTCCTTTTTTTTTTTTAGTGGCATTCATAGTTACTAGATACAAATCCAAAGAGTTAACTCGTAAACAGAGTCAGCAACTTGAACTGCTGGAATATGAGATACGGAAAGAAATTCGTGAGGGTAGGTCTAAAGAGCTTTAGAGAGCTTAAATACGGTATAATTTCTGAACTGAAACTGTCAAGGAGCTCACATTATATAAACATTTTAACTTTATAGCTATTAGAATATTTTTATGTTATGTCAGAGTTACCCTTTAATGTTAGTGTGCATTGCAGTAGCAGATAGCACTGGGCTAATAGGATTGCATGTAATACTTTCTTCAACAAAAATGGGGGAAAAAAAGGATTGGTACTTTCCTACTCCCAAGAATTTCAGCTAGAAAAACAACCTCTCTTGCCTGAAAACAGTTTTTAAAGGAACATCTATTGGGGCCAAGTTATAGTTGTGAAGATGATTGTGTGTTAACTATACTAACTCTTTGGGTGGGGAGGGGGGGTGCCGTTTCAGGATTTGCTGAACTGCAGATGGATGAATTAGACGTGGTGGATAGTTTTGGAACTGTTCCCTTCCTTGACTACAAACACTTTGCTCTTAGAACTTTCTTTCCAGAGGTAAATATTGACAGCTTTCTCAGTTGTCAGCCTTGCCTAATAATGAAGAAGCTAGGAAGGTCAGGATCAAATAGCTAAACTAAATACTACACAGTAATTGCACATTGTTTTCACAATAAACTTTTATTAAGTCAAGAATTACAGAAGAACACTTGGGACTATACATCTCTATATTTAACCAAGCTAAATGCTGTAGGTAAAGCACCATTTTTGAATTTTCAAGGGTTGTGTGTGCATCCATTTCTTTTTTGCTCAGCTTCACTAAACTGCTTGCCTTTCAGGCCATCCTAATTAAGCTATAATTTATCCATTGTGGTTTTTTGTTCTGATGCTTTCACTTTCCATGCTATAGCTAATTAAAGTAGCAGTCAGGCTAACTAACATCTTGACACTTCCTAATTAGACTTGTGGGATGAGAAACTGGCTCTAAGGTCATGCTGACTTTCTACTCAAGCTGCTGTTAGCAATGGTAAGACCTTGATTCGAAGGAGTGCAGGTCAAATGCTTAAAAATTACATAAGTACTTAAGTACTGTCCAGTTTGGAGGTGGATATTTTCATTGCTTTTAGGAGCAGTTTGCGCCACTGCATCAGAAGACTGAAGAGACTTTCTCTTAAATGTTTTCTTTCTCTTTCTGGTTTTTTTTTGCTTATGTGGCACATTGCAATGCTGATAAGTACATTTGCCACAGGTTTCAAAATTAAATCATGATGTTAATCAGTGCTTACTGGCATTCACTAATGGACAGAAGCTCTGATCTCAACTGGTGATATTTTACTGTGCAACTGACACCAGTGAGTAGAAACCTTTGGTTAGTGCTGTGGTGGTTTAGGTTATAGCTGCTGGTCTTCGTGTGTTACTCATCACTGCTGTGGCCCAGTCCTGCAGTCTTATCTGCACACTGCTTCACTTTATCACTCTCTGTAATCCTGCTAGAAGTTTGCTGTGATAAAAGTTAAACACGTGATAGTGCAGAATCAGGGCCCTTTTTTGTACAACACTAAATACCAGATACAAAGGAAAAATAATATTTAACAACATATGTATAATCTTTGTACACTTTGAGTTCAGTTCTCACACCAAAGGAAACTGGGAATATCTCATCTGGTACTGCTCTGATGCCCCCAGTCTAATTTGTATGGGATCACTAGGAGGTTTGAAAAACATGGACCAAAGAAGTCTTACTTTCTGCATCTCTTTCCTTCCAGTTTATTTTGTTGCCAGGCATATTAGCATTAAAATAGTGTTTTTATTTTTAGAATTTTGTCTTTTCCTAGTGATAGTCCTCTGTCAAAACAGTAACAATCTGTAGAAGCTGTCTGCTTTGCATGATGCAAATAAAAAGGAAAGAAAAAAAGGCATCAAGTCTGCCACTCTGTTGCATTATGTGCAGTCAGAAAGGGAAGGGCTCCTGTTTTGCCTTGGCAAGTCTCGTGCCACTGCGTATCCTGGAAGTGATTCCAGTTGGGTTTTGTCTCAGTTTAAAGTCCTGATACCACGAAGGTAAACTTGCCACTGTTCGCTCTCTAGAGACATGCGGTGTCAGGCAAGTTATTTAACGTATCATGTACCAATTTTTTCTGCTAAGTACTTCTCGTTTACATTGCAGGAAAGTCCAAACATGCCTTGTGCTGTATGAATGTGGTAGGACAGCAGTGCTCTACTAAACAAATAACACAGATGAGCAGAAAAAGCGATGGGGTAGTAGATTGCAACCGAGCGTCAGAAGGGTTGACAGAAGGGTCAAAGTGACAAACCAGCACTTCCCTCACTAACCTCATTTGTTTGAATGATGTCCATATTGTGCTCTCTCTGCCTTCCAATGTGTTTGATGGGCTTTGTCTCATCTCATCTCAGCTGTTTAAACACGACATCAAAGCTGTTCGCTGAGCATCTTCTGCAGTCAGTGCAGAGACGGGCAGCTCAAGAACGTGATTCATCCCACTAGCCTGAGACATCTGTCTCAGGACGGGATGAGTTGCTTAAAGAGGGAGTCAGATACCTAAAATTAAGAATGATGGACCCCATCTTCATTTTGAGCTTCTAGCCTCCCGCTGCTTCAATTTTCTGTATTTAATCTGGCTTGCTAGCTTTTGTTTTGTGGTTATTGCTTGTAAGTGTCAAATGGATATTACAGCTATTCTTAAAATATTCCTTATGTTCAGCCTGATTTTTTTTCTTTACTTGTTAAATTTGGATTATTATTTCTGTTTTCCCTCAATTCGCCACATTGCTTGGTTTAATGCTACCAGGTTTGTTCCCTGTTCTCAAGTATTTTTAACCTTTAACATGGTTCTGATTGCTTCACTTTGTGTGTGTCTGTGTGTTTTATTGGTAGGTGGTGTTAGAGGTGCTGAAGAAGTTCTGAAAAAATTGGAATAGCCAGTGGAGGAAGAGGAAAAAGAGGATGGTAGGGGAGAATAGAGCAGGAGGCACGAGGAAAGGAATGGATAAAAAAACAGATATGTAGTTGAAAAATGAGATGTGAGCTGGGGATGTGTGCTGCAGCCCAGAGGAACAATTGTATCCATAAAAAGAAGCATAGGCAACAGGTCAGGGCAGGTGATACTCCACCTCTAATGAGGAGGATAAGCTCTGATACGACTGCAGCTGGAGTACTGTATGCAGCTCTGGAGTCCCCATCACAGGAAAGACATGGACCTGTTGGAGAGGATCTGGAGAAGGCCCATGAAAATGATCAGAGAGATGGAGCAGCTCTCCTGTGAAGAAAGCCTGAGCGAGGTGCGGTTGTTCAGCCTGGAGAAGAGAAGGCTCCAGGGAGACCTTACTGTGGCATTTCAGTCTTAAAGAGGTCTTATAAGAAAGACAGAGAGAGACTTTACCAGGGCCAGTAGTGACAGGATGAGAGGCAGTGGTTTTAAACTGAAAGAGGATAGATTTAAATTAGACATAAGGAAGAAATTCTTGATGATGAGAGTGGGACACTGGAACAGGTTTCCCAGGGAAGCTGTGGATGCTCCCTCCCTGGAAGTTGTTCAAGGCCAGGTTGGACAGGGCTTTGAGTTTAGTGGGAGGTGTCCCTGGCCATGGCAGGGGGGTTCCACTGGATGATCTTTAAGATCCCTTCCAACCCAAACCAATCTGTGATTCTATGATTCTGTAAGGAAACTAGGGGCTTGCCAGCATCACAGATAAAGCAGATGACAGTAAATGTTACCAGTGTGAATTTGTTGCTCAAGGGTGGTGCTTTGGGAGCATGCAGCTGTGTTGGGACCTTGTAGGCTGTAAGAGTCAGACAAGAGGCATTGACAAGGTCTTTGAGCACTGGTTTCCTTCTGTTGTGAGAGCTTTCACTAGGACTGGATGTGTGGTGGCACCTGTGCCTCTCTGGAGAATGACAGCATGGACCTCCTGGAGAGTTCATTAGTGAACATTCATAGAGAGCCTTGAAATGAATGGACGCAGATGAACTCAAGAGTCACTCTGTTACAGAAACCCTGTACACCAAAGGCTGTCATTGCCGTCCAAGGAGGATGCAGCCTGCAGCACCCCTTGCACACCAGCACATTTACAGATGAGGGTCAGCAGCAGCCTTTCCTGCGGAGCGTTAGCTGACTGCTGTGCTAGTGCAGCTCAGTCAGCAGCGCAGGGTAACACACACGGTGACACTGAAGTCAATACCAGGTCACCTCTCAGAGGTCACTTTTCGGTGAACCTTGGCAGCACCTTTGCAGAAGTTCTTGTGCAGAGTTTTTATAGTGTACCTGCATTAGAAGCCAGCATTTCCATTGTTTTATTTCAAGTCATGTGCCGTCAGGAGCGTGCTTGGCGTGTTTAACATACATGTGTTAGAAACTTTTGGTATACCTAAAAATGATAAATGTCACCTATCTTATATTTTAGTCAGGAGGCTTTGCATCCATCTTCAGTGAAGACATGCCACAGGTAAGTTGACGTAGTGTGTTATGCCTTAATGAATAAATATTGTTTCATGAGTGATTGTATCCCATTTTTCAGTGTTGTCCTAGAACACATCAGATTGAATTTTCAATATGTCCCCTTTCCCCAATGAGGAGGGTTACATAGATTTATATATAAAAAGAATTTTGTGTGTAAAATGCTGTTACCCAAAGTATATTATGACTTATTTAAATAAAATAAACATCATCTAGTCATGGGAAACAACAGGGAAACTTAAGTTTTGGCATTACTTTGTCTATATGACAGAAAATGCATGCTCTGCATGTGTGTACTCAGTGCTGTACAAAAACGCAAATGCATTTTCAGTAAAATCCTGAGACTCATGAAATACTTGCAGAATTTCCTCTCATTTGAATGAGGCCAGGATCTTATCCCATATGTTGCTTACCATTTTTCTGAGCATTGAGAATCCATCACAGCCAAACTACAGTTTGCTTATTTTTGTTTAACTATTCCAGAGCAGAGACCAAACAAGCAAGGATGAAAGCTTCAACATGTTGCATGCTTTAATTTGTAACAAGAGCTTTCTTGTTACTCTCATTCACACCCTTGAAAAGCAGAAAAATTTCTCTGTGAAAGACAGGTATAGTATGATTATGCTTATCATCTTCAAGACAAAGAATTAGCAGGAAAAAACAACATGGGTTGTAGCACACAAATGTAATGTCTGCTTCTTGCAAAATAAGCTTGCATTACTCCAGAGCATTTTTTTCCATCTTCTCCATCTGCACACACTGAGGAAGAAAAAACATTGCCATTAAAGAGAAATCAGAATGTCTGTACATGTAAACAAAGAGGCAGAGGAGCAGGAAAACTTACTTTCAGACTGTAAACACTTCCTGCAGTTAGATCAACAGTTCTACAGTTTAGAAATGTTCTGTCACTGAAGCAGGTGTTGTTCTGCAGAACTGAATTTAGAGACAAATTCTGTGTTTAAAAAATAACCACAAGAGCAGATGGACTTACAATTTTTGTTTTTGTAGAGATCAGTGGACAGTTTCTGTGCCTTAGGAAGGAAAACTTAGGATATGAATTGCACTAAAGTGTTTTTCATTTATTAATGATGACTGGAAAGAGAACTACTTAATATTATAGCATTCTCTTTTTTTTTTTGTTTTTTAACAGGTGCTTGTTTGCATCCTTCTTGACTATTGCACTACAAACTAAGCTAGTTTATCTAACCCATATTTTGGAAGTGTTGACAAAGGACTTGATGGAGCAGTCAAGCAATGTACAGCCTAAGCTACTGCTCAGACGAACTGAATCTGTGGTAGAAAAATTGCTGACAAACTGGATGTCTGTCTGTCTTTCTGGCTTCCTCCGGGTACATGTACATCTTTTCACTACGTAGTAATTTTTTAAACTGATTTCTTCCATAGGAATTGTTAAAGGGATGATATTTAAGTGTTCAAGCTAACATTTGACGTTATTAATGTGTGCCCTTCTAGTTTAGGTGACTTAGCTGGTATCATCTGGAAAGAGCACATCTGCAAGTGATGATCGTGTCATTTATTTGGCTGAGATGTGGGTAGTTTTGCAATTCTAGCATATGCTTTTCTCACATCAGACATTATTTCATCTCCATGAGATGCATTGTGATCATACTTAAAAGACTGACACATTTGTTAAAATGCAGCTGTACTTTTCTGTGCAAGCTGTTGGGAAGCTACCACGTAATGGAGATTTAAGGAATGCCATCTTCTGGAAAAGCAAACTTCTTTCCAAACTTTGTAACCTCTAAACAGCATTATAGATCTCAAGAACTAAGGAACTTCAAGTGGAAACAAAATAAGCATTTTTAACTGTTTGTTTATTTTAACCCACTTGGTAGCACTTCGTTCTTGGTTTCAGTGCTTGGTTGTGTTTCCTGTCCCTGTTATCAGTGCGATGGTATCACACTGTTGGTATTGCTCGTAGCGGTCCTTGCATTAATGCAGCAGAGTCATCTGAGGCTCAGCAGCTCGCACCGTTGTCCTGAAACCCCAGGAGAGAGACAAGGACCTGTCAGAGATCTGTTCTCCATTCACCAGTCATCGTTACAGAGCTGTGCTAGTGAGTTGCCTTAGCCAGGCTGCAGGAGTGGTGGTGTCACGTGGAGACAAGGATCCATCCTTCCTTTCTCAGATGCTGGGGTTCAGGCAGGAGAGGGAAGCCCCAGTTTCATTCCCTCTTTCACTGATACACCAGTGTATGCCCCACCACTTCCCTCCCAAAGCTTATTTTCAGGCACAACAAGGGGAGACGCTGATTCAGAAGGAAGCTAGTTGTTAGCTTGTTTTCTCACAAGACTGAAAAAGGAAGAAATAGCTGAAGTATGGGTGTGAACACACGCGCGTCTCGCCCTCCACCCGCTCTTTGGTAGAACTGGGAAGCGTCTGCCAGGTGGAGTAGGAGCAGCTTGTCTGTAGCCTGCTTGTGCTCAGCAAGGGTCTGTGTGCTATCTCGCCACACACTCCAGCTGTCCCTCACTATTTGCGTGGCACTTTCGAACCGAAAAGCAAAGTATGGAGTTTAAGCAAATAACCAGATAAATCTGCTCAGAGAAGTTTTCTTTTCTAATTGTGAGATAACAAGTTAGTTAAAAGGAAATAACTTAATTTGTTACACTTGATTTTTTTCCTAGTTATTCATGCCCATTTAATGATTCCAAAAATAAACATGTTCCTTGTGTTTGTTTCACGTCCTAGGAGACAATTGGTGAACCTTTCTATTTGCTCGTGACAACCCTTAATCAGAGGATAAACAAAGGACCCGTCGACGCCATAACGTGCAAGGCCCTGTACACACTTAACGAAGACTGGCTGCTGTGGCAAGTGTCTGAATTCAAAACCGTGGTATGTTTCCCAGTTTGTGTTCCCTCCAAACAAGAACAATTACAGTGTTTTCTGTTTTTCTAGGAAGCTAAATTAGGGCTCTTAGACACTAAGGTGATGGTTAAGTACCCAGATAATAAAACTGTTATTGCTGACAGTTTCAAAACGCAGTGGAGTTTAACTAGCTGCTTTTTCACCAATATACATTTCACAAATAGCGCTCACTCCTCGCTTCACAGCATGCCTTTATCACCAAAGGTTAGGTTTAATGAAGTCTCGGGGGTATTAAAATTTCTTCTTATTTTAAGGTGTACCACAAAATATAAACATACACTCAGAATTTCAACTAAATTGCACTTTTCCAATGAATGAAAGAATGGAATGCAGAGGTTTTTTATTTTTCTGTTGTGTTTACTTGTGACTGATCTTTAGGCAGCAATAATTTGCTGTGGGTTTCCATATTATTAGCTCCAAATTAGCAAGGTTACAGTGTGGTGGATTTTAATTAGTTGCTTGGTTAAAAACAAGGTATCTGAGAAGGCTAGCTAAGTTTCTGAACTTTACCATCAATTTCTAGCCTTTCCCAAAGCAACTGCAAAGTGCTTCCCATTGTACTGTTACACTCAGAATTCTTAGGAAGCTGGAATTCCCTTACTGATTGTCATTCTGACACTGAGGGGAGAAGGGACAGCAGGGATTATTGCACTTTGGAGCATGTATAAATTGTGGCTTTTTGAGTAGGTCTGGAAAAGGTTTTCAGAATAACCAGAGCACTTTTTTTTCCTAGAATTTCCAAGCGATTTTGAGTCTGAGAACTTAAAAAATCTGCATTTCCAGTCATTTCCATAGCTTTCTTCTTAACTCCTGGCTTCATCTTGAAGTTGCCAGACATACTTAGGAGTGTGAGGAGTGTGACTGAATAGGGGGCTTCAGAGCTTGGGAGCAGAAACTGGCATGACAGAGACGCTGCAATTGCTGGAGGCTTTGGAGGAGAAGTGAGTCCTTTTCAGAGCCCACATCCTGAGCTTCAGGTAGGGCTGGAGCTTCCAGGTCTGCCCATCTTCTGTTTTTTGCAGCAAGAACCTGGAGGTTCTAAGATGCCACATACTGGAGTAGACAATGTGACACTGGAAATTCGGGTTGGTCAGCGATCCATTGGACTTAGCTCGCTGGGTCACCTAGGAGGCTCACTGAAATGACAAACTTTCTGTGAAACATTTCTGAATTGTCATTTTCTGGACTGACAGATTTATCGTCAAGTCTTCTTATAGCTATTTACAAAGCTGTTGTTGCAAGCTTCATTTGAAGCTTCAAGCTAAGTTACCACAGCATCCATTTGGAAAAGAAGTTTGTGACTAAAAATTAAACACATAATACTGTATCTTTCATTTCCTTGTGTGCTGCATTCTGGCATGCATTTGGGATCCAGGATAGGTTTAAATATATTGCTATATATAGCCAGAGGATACAAAACCCAGTAGTTACGCAGAGGAAGGATTTTCAAGCAAGCTCAATACGCTAGTTACTAGTAGGCTGCGCAGGAACATCTGGTCCTGTGGAATTGATTGACTCTTCTTATTTATAGCACAAATTCAAATTGAGAGCACCTTGGGGGGATTGCCGACTCTGAATCTGCTGAACTGCAGATCTGCTAATCTGCCTTAAATACTTTTCCTAGTGCTACTTCTGTGCATGCAGTTGCTGATAAGGCCTTGTGGGCAGCCTGCAGTGAAGCAGAGAGAGGGGAAGTGGTCTGAAGGAGTCAGTATTGGTGGGGAAGGCTGGCTGTGGATGCATGAGGAAGTGAGAGACCAGATAACCTTTCTCGAATGTTGTTTGCTGCCTTTGTACTTTGTATTCCTGTTTTTAAATAGAAGATAATGATACTGTTACAGGGTTAATAAGTCAACCTTCAACTCTAAGGTCCAGCAGTTTATTGGACTTAGTTGAGAAGGGGCTAAATGTTCCTTTAAAATCGTCAGAAAAGGAGAGAGGATCTTGCAGTAAAATTGCAGAGATGGAGCCCAAGGACTCGAGTTCTGGCTGGACAGAGAAACAGTTTTGTTTGGTATTTTGTCTAAGATTTACGCTGGAAACTGAAACTGTGCTGTGAAGGAGATTTAGATGGAGCAGTGAGGCTTTCTGGGCTGGGGAAGCAGGCCGGCTGTGGACGTTTTCTCTTCAAGAACAGCTTTGAACAGGGTGCTAAAGTGGAAGGAGTCAGCTTTTTTTGCTTGCTAGCACCATTTCACATGCACTGCAATGACATGCAGGAGCTGTGAGTGTACAGACAGGGAACCAAGTATTTTCTCTTTTCTTCGGAAGAAAATTTCTGCCTGAAGGATTGCAGGTTTTGTTTTCTAAACGGAATAACATTCTGAGCTGAGTTTTCAAATGCATTTGCACATTTGCTGACTGCAGTTACATTCTAAGTCTTGCAGTATTGTACTGGTATTTTATTTTGCCCTTTTCCACAGCAGTACGTTAAAACCTGGCTGTCCAGAGCAAAGTATAATCACACAACCAAAGAGAGGGTGATAAAAAGGTACTGAAGCACATCTCCAGACACTCAAGAGTCCAGATTTCTAGGCACTTGCAGACACAGGGATGCATCTGGTAGGGAGTTCAACTCTCAAATCAGTGGCAGGGCACAGACAAGGCTGTAGGCACTCTGCATATGAATCTCTCCTTTCAGGATTGGGACTTCAGTTCCAAACCAATAAAAGCAGGATACAGACAGGCTTCTAAAAAATCAGGGAGAGCTCCACAGGTCTTGTACTGATCACACCACTGTGCAGGTGCAGGAGAAGGAAGCAGCACTGCGCATAGAGAAAGAAGGGCAGGAGAGACTTTCTAAAATTCAGGGCTTTTCTAACAGGAAAAATAAAGAACTCGAAACATGTTGGTTTTGAGTAGTGTTAGAGCTGTCCCTTTTTTTAAAAGGGCCGCGGACATTGGGACCAACCAACTCCTCCTGTTACCCCTCTCTGCTGGAAAGGGCCAGATATCAAACAGAAATGGACTGCTGAAGTAAACACTCAAGCAGAGGAATTAAGGAAATATGCTTCTAAGAGCACTGGTCCAGTATGAGCTGAGGAGCTGTGTGGTTTCTTGCTGTGCTTATATTTGAGTATTGAGAAATAAAACTGCCTTGAAAGGGACTTGGATGTGTCACAGAGGCTTTTTGAAGCATGCTCTCTCCCAGGCAGACAAGCAGCTGCACACCTCGGTGGATAATTTGCTCAATGACTGATGAGGAAGCACGGTGCACTGCTGAGTGTTAGCGTTTCACTGAAGTGTTTCATTTGAAGCAGAAAAGCTGTGCAACACCAGCCTGGATGGGATAAGTTCTCAGGGGAATATCTCCTGTGGAAAACCAAGGGAGATTTCTTCGTGTGGTAGACTTGGTGCTTAGGCATTCTTTTGAACAGTCACTGCTAATTTTAAGAAAGTGATTGGGGCTGTTGAATTCTTTGCTGAAAGGAGTTTGCATTTTTACATGGGAAGAAATTCTCTAATTCACCTGTTCAGCCAACAGCCTTTGATCAAAAGCGAAGCAAAGCCACGTGGTGGAAGGTTGGTTAAAGTGTTCAACTGCTTTATGAGTTAAAAGAAGGGTGTTAAAAGAAGTGGGAGGGCTGCAAGGGTGGAACGCAGAGAGAGAGACCCCAATTTCCTAGTAAGATGCCGTGGTTGTGGGATTATTAGGCACACTTTGTGTGCTTCCACTTAAGGAAGCTATTTAAAAGCATGTGACATATGGGGATTTTCATCAGAGAGGGACACAACAGCCCTTGCTCAGAAGCAGCAGTGCAGATGTTGGCTCCAGGAAAGTCTTCTGGATTAGATACAGATTGAGTACTGTACTGTAGCGTCATGGAGAGTACAGCCCTTGCTTTGCATAGTGCCCATCTAGCCTGAATTTAACTCCTGTAACCTTTTCTGTGCCCATTTGCTGGCTGTTCTTTAACCTCTTCATGGGTCGCTCTTCTGGCTGCTGCAGAAGGATCCTGCAATCAATCTGGTTTTTGCTGTTTGTTGTATTTCATCGCCTAAGAGACAGGGTAGTAGGTTTAAGGCAGTTTCATTGTGCTGTATGTCACGGTGCTGTCTCCTTTACATAATTCTCTAACTTTTACCAGTCAAAAGGTTTTCTTGTTTTTTCAGTCTGTCTGATAAATGGAAATAAGCTTTGTTCTGATGCATAGCTGAATAGAGAACAGGGTAATGAATAAGAGCCCGTGAATATCTCAGATGATTTTCTTCTAAGAAAATATGGTATTATCACATTTCTTTATTAAACCACATCTCATTTGTTATCTGCTATGGTTACCAACAGCTGTACTAAATAACACACTGTTTGAAGTTCATTTTCAGGAAAATTACAAATCTAAAAAAAATCTGTAAACATTGGCTTCAGATGTTGTTATTGCTGTCACTGCATGAGTAAAAAAATGTTTTACAAATGTGTTCCTGTCTTTTAGCTGGGCTCCAAGCTAGTTCCTGTACAAGTAGTTGCAGATGTTTGCCTTGTTCTCCTTAAGTACCTTTTAGCAGTTCTTGCAACCTGTGGTCAACCTTTGCTGAAGAGCAGCGTGACTTTGTGCTGCTAACCACTAATTTCTAGTGAAGTCTCAACTCCAGGTATTCGTAGGTTGAACCACATGTCCTGGAATTTCCTCCTGAATCTTGCCCTACGTTAACTGGTATTTTTGTTTCCTTTGCAAAGTGAGAGCGCTTAGAAAAGGGCCTGCTGATGTTTCCCCTTGACTCCCATGTGTCCTCCTGTGATTTCTCTTAAATATTTTCTGACCTTCAGATCGTAAAAGGGCGTTCATAATTTTACTCTCATTTCTGGTTCTTTTTGCAGTTCTACACTTTGTGTCTAAATGCAGTGATGGGGACTGTCAGCTTCTGATTAATGGTTTCTAAAGCCAGGGATTGCGCTGTCTGACAGGTTGAGTCTGATTTATGAAAACTTCAGCTACAGAGGGAAGACATAATAATAATTGGCTTTCCTAGCTCCCCATCAATTGCTTCATCACTTAAGATTAACTTCTGCAGGAAATCTTATCAGCAAAACTGTCTGGCTGTCTTGGTTTAGAGACTTTCACACGTTGAAATACTTCTTCCCATCTGACCACTTCTTTGAGTCGTAAAGTATTGTTATCACCCCTCACATTGTGGATACTTTCGATTAAGGAGTCCAGAAATGACTTGTATTCCCCCTGCGTAAAGGACTGCTTCTCTCTCTTTACAGTCCTGTCACCCTGCGATTAATTGAGCGGGGATGGGAGGACTCTCACGTGCTGGTAACTGAGGAGGCTGCACATTTATGTGTGAGCTCTGTGGGAGCGTGTGCTGAAAAGGAAACGCAGGAGAGAAAAAGGCAGTTTCTCTTGACAGTCTGAAAGGAAGAGGAAGTGCTTTTTTTTGGAATGTGAATATTGCAGCGTAGGAATAGTGTTAGGAGGAAAGGATCAATTAAGGGATGCTTCCAAGGGTGTAAAGACAAATTGGCATCAGTGAAAGTGTGAGTAGCTACTCCAGAAAGATCAACTCAGAGACTGGAAGAGGCAACTACTTTGATTAAAATGAGTTTTCCAAAGACAAAATACAGTTAGTCCCTGCCCACATTTGTATCCTACAAGACCACAACCTCGGGGCAATCAAAGTCAAGGGCAGGACGGCTGTCTGTTCAGTTGGTCTGTGGGCCTAACCAAGCATGACTCCCTCAGTCCTGTGCCAATATATTTTTTACTAATTTTCCGCATGAAATCCCAACCTGAGGCATGGCATCCAGTCTGCTTGTCCTTCTGCAGGCACTGTTCCTGCATCTCCTCCTCCTCTGTTCCGTCTGTCTTTTCCAGGGACTCATTTTCCTCACAGTTAAACAACTCGGTGTCCTGATTGAGTTATCCTCAGTTACTTCAGTTACACCCTAGTCTTTGTTAAATCCTGATCTTCATCGTTTTGCAACCCTGTTTTTAATACTCCTTTTGCTTCTTTAGAAACAGTAAAGTTAATGTCTCGTTGGACTACTTTTTTTCACCACCAGTGTGTTGTGATTTCCACTCTTGCAGGGTAATAGAGCAGCAAATAGCATTCTACAACGATTAGTAACTACCCGTTTTACTAAGGAGAGAGAAAAGCTGTCCCTGCAGCAACCTGCACATAAGTTCTTTCCTTCACGTGACAGCAGGGAAAAAAAGTGTATTTTAGTTCCTTCCTCTTTTAACAATCACTCCTTCGCTGAGTCACACCTGCAGTGCTCACGTTTCAGTCAGAAGAGATGTATTCTACCAGAAATGTCCAACAGCCAGAATGGTTTGAATACGTAGATGTTCCTACACCGCTTGCAGTCGAGTGCTGGCACCTAAAACACTTCTTTTAATGCTGTCCTGAGACGTCTGCAGTGGGATGTCTGTATCCGTGTAGCTGAACAGTGATGTCTCTGCAAGGTTATGACGCTGGAAATGAGTGTTGTGTCACTCTGCATTAGCAGTCCTGTGCTCATCCCTTTTCCCTGCCTTTTGGAAGCAGTTGATCTGCCCGGCCTGACCAGAAATGTTACCTGACAAGAAGCATTCCCTGGAGATGGTCGTCATTGGCGCCTCCCCCCAGCCCACGCTCACCAGATGAGTTGTGTCCCAGCTAAGAGCAGCTGTGAGCTGAAGGGCAGGAGTGCTGTAACTGGACAGGTCGAGTGGGTGTTTGAGCTGGAGTCATAACTAGTAGAATAAATCGCACTTTTCTGGGCAGATCTGGACCATTTTGGGTCCTGTCTGCTGCAACATGCTTTCCCTTCCCACTGTTTCTGCAGTAGCCCTGTCTCTGCTGCCTCTGGAGACACGGCTCTGTGTGGACAGATGCTGTCGTCTCCAGGGAGAGGTGTATTTTTTTGTATGGTACAAGATACGCAGCATAAGCTGCTGGTGTAAATGCGCATTTTAACACTGCTTCCTATCCACCGAAAATCAATCGTGCTTACCATGACAGCTTACTTAGCAACCTTATCAGATCTCTAGTAGCTTACAGTTCTGCTTTTAAGGCATTCATTTTAAATAAAAGATCTGCTGCTTTTACAACATGCTTTAGAATTTTTTCCTGGTCTCCTGTCTTTTTTTTGTAATCCACTGAAATAGATTTGCACAAAAGCAGAATGCGAAATACACTTTTGGGAAATGCACAGCTCTATATTTGATTCTTCAGACACAAGGAGTGCTAAGTGCTTCATTGCGTAATTCCTTCAAATAATTTTTATTCGAAATAGCTTTAATAATAAATATGCTGAAAATCTCTCAGGTTTGCCATCAGAAGTTTATAGGTTTCCCATGCCAGCTGTTCCCTGTAAGTCAGAATAACATGTGTTTCTTTCCCCAGACAGTGAACATTATCTTTGAAAAAATCCCAGAAAATGAGAGTGGAGATGCCTGTCAGACCATCCCAGTTAATGTTCTGGACTGTGACACCATAGGCCAAGCCAAGGAGAAGAGCCTTCAGGCCTTCCTTAATAAGAATGGCTTTCTCTATGGACTTCAGCTGGATGAAATTGGGCTTGGTAAGAGAACGTCACTTTGTTATGTTTCCATGGAGGTCACTGGTCTGTCTGTGGAGTTTTCTTTTCAGGAATTCCTACCTTTGGCTTTGATTTTTTTAGCATTTAGACAGAACATAGCTTTTGTAAGGAATTTCTGGGGAAATACTAGCTCATTTATTCTACTAGTTAGAACATTGAAACTACATCTGCTTTGCTTCTGCAAGGACTTCAGCGTACAGTTAACAAACACATGTTATTTACTGAACGCTCATGACTGATATGTTCCTTTTCTGAGTTAAGTGAAGTGGCCTGTTCAGCTAAGAACAGCTGGTTGATAAATTTTGTCAGCAGGTAAGATGAGGCATTATGGTTACCAACTACTTTAGTCCCTACCTACCATCCCTCCTACCGCCCGTCCCTCCAACAGGCCTGTGTTGCCCTTGATCAGAAGAACCCACAAATACAGTTTATTTACAGCCAGAGTAGGTTTGTATGATAGTTCACATGGGACTCACAAAGGTATGTATGTCTGCAGATGTAAGTAAAGCCCTTCTGGAGAAGAGTCGAGCCACCTTTTCTTGTTGGGTTTTCGAGAGCCCAAGGTCAGATAAAAGCCCATAGTTCCCACTGTGCCACTTCCCACATGCTCCAGTAGGAAATCCAACAAACTGTATTTTTGGCATTCATCATCTCCCAGACTTGCTCCTTAAGATGTTGATACTTCCTCAACTTTACAACATTGGCAAGTGATGATAATTTACTCTCATATCTGATGGTTGTATCTACCACTAGTGCCTGACCACCCTTCACAAATACTAGGTCAGTCTTATACAGCTCATTTTGGTGGTCTCTTAGAAGTGGTTTGTGAAACCTTTCTTACAGTCCCAACATGGCCATAACTCCAGGGCACACTTGTGCAACAAGACAGCTAAATAAGGTGAAAGCACCTCCAAAAACTCTGCCTTGACCAACACGAAGTGAAGCACCAATAACCTGCAGGAAGGGAAGCCACCCAGACTGCTACCCCAAAATCTGTAGTGCGGGAGTGCAAAGCCACTCTCATGTGACCTAGCACAAGGACAGAGAGAAACAGCTCATTTGGGAGCCACTGGTCCAAAAATAAATAGCTTGTGGGTTTTTTTACAAACATCTGCACAGTGAGAATGCCATTGGGATGTAATTGCTTTCTGTTGCTGTCACACTGCAGAACTTGTGTCTGAGGAGCAGCAGAGAGAGCTGTTGGATATTGATGGTTCCTCAGAGGTGATGGAGGACGGGATAAGGAAGCTGAACACCATTGGTCATTACGAGGTAAGCACAGGAGCCATAGCAATGAATCTAAAAGCAGTTTCACCCCAGCTCCCAAATGCTGTCTGCACAGAAGTGTCTTGATTGATCAAAATCTTGAAGAGGTAGTTAAGCATCATCAACAGAAGGAAAGAAATGCGTGACACAACTTTCTTGCCAATGAGTCATATGTTTTCTGTTACTTTTCAAGGTTTGCTTGTTGCAGGGTTGCTTGGTTCAAGCAAACCAGGTGAACTGTTATTTCTGTTGAGGTTTTCAGTTAAAACACCCAATTTCCAGCCATGAACGTTGCTTTGAGTCTTTTCTAGTCTGTGCTGCTGAGGTTTGTTGCACCATGAGGAATTTTTTACCTCTTCCCACCTCATACTTTGAGTATCTGAAGAGGCAGTAGTGATACTTGTGAAAGCTTACTGCGAGTCAGAATTAAAAGGACTGATGAGTTTGCTCGCTCTTGAGACCTCCTGTGTCGGTCTCCTTCTCTTTTTCTCTCTGCTTCTCCTTCCATCTGCTGTCACCACTTGTACCCTATGTTTTCCCCATCAATTCCAGTTGCTCCTGTAGACCAGTTGTTTTCAATGCTGCAGTAATCTGTCCATCATTGCAACAACACACGCGACTTTTCTGGTTGTAGCACATTGCAAACACATAGCAGGCAGCATTGCCTGGCTAAGGATTTTCCACTGACGCTGGTCAAAATAGAGGATGGGGTAAAATGTGCAACAGATGATTGGCCTCAGGGGATATGGTAGCTCACATTTTGATGCTTACAGATGAATTTTGGAAATGAGGTTAGTATTATAGTAATAAATTTTTATTTATTTAGAAGTGTTGCTGTTGAGTGTAGGTCTGTGCCATGCAATGCAGTGTGGTGCTGAGAAACCTGAGCCAGCCCTGAACACATTGCTGTCTGCATGAGCAAACATGGTGCCATCCATCCACAGAGAGGAACAAGGACTCCTAGCAGGGCTGGTGGTAGCTTGGGTAGAGCACAAGGATACTCAGATCTGGAGCAAGCTCATTTGGAGTCACTTTACAGATTTCTGCAGGCATTTGTTGCTCTCCTGGGGAGGCAGCAGTGGACCCAGATGTCATGAGTCGCTATCCAATGTCTTAAATACAGCTTTTCCCTCTCTTGAATCTTGTCTATAGATTAGCCCAGAGAAGAGAGGGCTCTGAGGGGACCTTATAGCAACCTTCCAGTACCTGAAAGGTGCCTATAAGAAATCCAGGGAAGAGCTGTTCACAAGGGCATGTAGCGACAGGATGAGGAGTAATGGTTTTAAACTAGAAAAGGGTAGATTTCAGTTGGATATTAGGAAAAAGTTATTCAATGTGAGGGTGGTAGATCACTGAAACAGGTTGCCCAGAGAGGTGGTGGAGGCCCCATCCCTGGAGATATTCAAGGTCAGGCTTGATGGGGCTCTGAGCAACCTGATCTGGTAACAGTGTCCCTGCTTACTGCAGGGGAGTTGGACTAGATGATCTTTAAAGGTCCCTTCCAACCCAATACATTCTATGATTCTATGATTAACGTGAGACTTCCTCTTCTCCACTCATAAAGATTTTGTACAAATTAGTACATCGTAGTGTTGCCATCAGAGTATGCAGCAAAGGTCAACGCAGATTTCAATCTGATTGTTTGAACTCCTGTCTGATCTGGTGGCAGCAGCCCTCTTCCCTGCAGGCAGCGACTGCAAGCGCTCCCTGATGTAACCTGGCAGCTTTTTGCACTTCCTGAGCTCATGGCGTGCTGTGGCTATGGGTGCCGTCCCTCATGGCAAGTGACTGTGCTCCAGTTGGTCATCCCTGTGTGTCCCAGCCCTTGTTTTCGTCTGAGGTTTCTGCAGGCAGATGCGAGTTAGGATAGAGGTTCGGTTGTTTTGCAAAGCTGTAACTACACTAATTATAGCTTAGCAGCTGCCTTATGGAAATTGTGCTGGGTATCTCTGTTAGATGTTTTAGTTCACTTTTTCTGACACTGACAAAATATTGTACGTTTTAGGCAGAAGCTTAGTGGCATTTTAGGCAGTGGCTTAATGGCAAGCATCAGCCATTAGCATATCTTAATTTATTTTCTTGCATGCATATTAATGCAAAAAGGAATGTAAAAGTGTCTAGTTAGCAAGAAAAAGGAGCCCTGCATGCACAGTGTGAGGACAGTAAGTGCCAGATGAATACCAGCTTAAATTTCAGTAGTGCCTGGAGTTTTGTGGCAAGTCTGAATTTTTCTTTTTGTTTGATGGCCTTAAATGCTAGAAAGTAACTGGATTTTTGAAACTGGGAAGTACCATCAACGCTTTTAAAGATACTGAGGGTTGTGTTGTAAATCAGAATCACAGAATGGTTTGGGTTTGAAGGGGCCTTAAAGATCACCTAGTTCGACCCTGCTGCCATGGGCAGGGACACCTCCCACCAGACCAGGTTGCCCAAAGCCCTGTCCAGCCTGGCCTTGAACACTTCCAGGAAGGGGGCATCCACAGCTTCCCAGGGCAACCTGTGCCAGTGCCTCACCACCCTCACAGTAAAGAATTTCTTCCTGATATCTAGACTAAATCTGCCCTCTTCCAGTTTAAAACCATTCCCCCTTGTTCTGTTGCTGCCTGCCCTTGTAAATGTTGCAGAATCTCCAGTCACTCTTGAAAAAGCACCACAATTTCTACACTGATTTGTAAAATGTGCAAGCAAGGGACGTTTGCATTTTTGTGTGGTGTTTCTGAAAGCAAAAAAAGTCCTTTGTACTCTCAGTAGACTTTCCTGTGTCTCTGACTTGTGTGCTCCTTTTTGCTCTGATTTTTTGCTCCTTGTATGGTTATTCAAGTGATTATTTATGAGGTCTGCACTGTTGTTTGCATGAGAATAACCACAAACCTTGACAAGAATGCTTCTGGTTACCGTGATGTCCTATTTCCCATGCAAGAAGAGAGCAAGAGAACCGCTTTCAGGTCTGCTGTCCAGGCACAGACCTCCAGTTTCTCAACCTGTAGCAGCATTGCATGGTCCAGGAGCAGGCACAGCCTCAGAGAGCAAACCTGAATGTGTGATCCAGGGTGCTCACTGGCAAGAACTGGATTATAGGGAGGGCAGGAGGCCTGGAGAGCAAGGAAGAGGCGTGAAGCCACACTACTACATCTTCGGGTTTGCTGTGCTCCATGGTGTGTGGATCTGAACAGATCTCCTCTCCCTGTTTTGTCCCCCTCTGCAATGCACCTGACAGAGCGAAGATGTTTTGAGGTGCCCATGAAAAGTGACTGAGGCAGCAGGGCACAAAAAGAAGGGCGTTGTTGTTGTTGTTGTTGTTGTTGTTGTTGTGGTATCACACTGAAAGAAACAGCAGGTCTGGTTGCTGCAGTAATGATGAAGGGAAAAGCACACTCCACACAATGCTAAAAGCATCATTTGTCCTGGAAATAAAACCTGAAATGAGAGCTTCAATCGTGGCTGCACTGTACCAATGCCTCTGGTTCCTGGAGGAGAGCACAGTTCTTCCCCTGAGCTCTGCCCATCTCCCTCAGGACAGGAGCCAACACATTTCAGTACTGAGCTGCTCCCCTGCTTTTTGGAGGAGGGTGGAGGCAGTGCACTGCCCATGCCACTCTGGGAGGGGTAAGCTGCTGGGTAGCCCTGTTCCTGTTTGCTTGTCTTCAGGGCCACGTAGCAGGACTCTCTGGGTGTTCGTGTCGCCTCACCAGCCAGTCTTGGAGCACATTCACACTTGTAGTGTGGTTCTGAAGTGCTCTGCATTTACTGAAAGGGCTCTGAAACACTCTATGATGAATGGATACCCTGCAAAAAATCATACTTACAAAATAGATCGCATTTACTTTCCAGGAGCAAGTGTAAGTGCAAATTTCTTTGGCGCAAGACACAGCTTTTGATAGAGTATCGTAGTGTTTAAACTGGTTTCTCACACCAGGCTGGCTGCCAAGGTTTAAAAAACACTTAAATTATTTTGGCAGAGATCCCTTCCTAGAACTGGCCAGTTGTTTTTGTAATTATAGAGGGAAGTACACTAGCGCTTGGCAAGACCCCACATCTGACAGCAGAGCAGTGCTGTAGTTCTTGGTGGGAGCCGTTTTTTAGTTACTCTTTGACAATAAAAGTGTGACTTGCCAGTTTCTTTTAAAGATAATATTTACCATCCTGGCAGCACTATAAATTCAGGGAAGGAGGGGGAAAGATTTTTGCTAGAAATCCCAATGTAGCTAGATACGGATCTTGACCTTACAGTCCACAAGGCGTAAATATTTTGCTCAATGTGAAAATAGCTCTTGGGAGCACCAGGCCCTCAGCGTGGCCCCCCTTGAAGGGCATGGGGGAGACAGACTGAGCTGGAAGAAAGGGGCCAGAAGAAAAATGGTCCTTGTGGTTCCCTCCCTGCCTCACCTTCCTGTAAGATCCCGTTGCATAAAGAAACAGGCTGGCACGCTGCTGCGCTGCCACAGCCTTAAGGACAGAGGAAATGAAACCGAGGGTTATCGTTAATCGTAGACACTTCTGTTTCAGTGTGGTGTTTGTTTTTGCTTTCAGATTTCAAACGGAGCAACCATAAAAGTCTTTAAAAAGAAGGCAAATACCCGATCAGGTAACCAAGGGGCTGCAGCCTGTTTAATCTTCTGTGGCAAATGGGCTGGGACTGCAGAGAGCTGAGCTATGACAGGTTGTGTCGTGGTCAATAGGAGATCAGAAAAATTGGAACTTTGATATAGCTGAGCTATAGGAAGGGCCATGTTCCCCTGGCTCTGGGCCTCTGGCAGGCAGGTGAGCCTAAGAGGAGGGAAGAAGGCATCAGCAAGAAGGGCAGAAGGACTTAGAGTCCTTGGCAAATGAGTGCTTAAAGATACAGAGTCATGGGCAGGAGAGCAGGGCAGGGAAGCCTGGGTGACACAAAGTGCTGGCTGGTGTGACCAACACAGGGAACATGCCTTGCTCCCATGTCCGGCGTTGTGCATCGTGGACATACTGGTGCACTGTCCAGACAGAGGCATTGCAAAAAACTGTGGTTTGGGAATTTTCCCTGTTCTCTTGACTGTGTTTCTGGAAGCTTTGACTTGGCTGTCTCAACAGTGGGTCAGGAGGTAAAGGGTGATGGGGTCAGCTCACCTCACCCACCCTTGTGGTGCAGGTTGTTCCAGCCCAGCTGGTGACTTTCTGTAACCCCGGGCAGAAACAGACATTCCTGGTGTGTGATTCACCTCACCGCCAAAGTGGGCATCTGAAGTCAGCAGAGTTGTGTCCCCGAGGTGCAGGTCACTGGGTTGGTGTTGCTCTCCCTCAGCAAGGACAGGGTCATCTGTTCTCAGCCGTTGTTTTTAAGCCTGATCTCAGCCCACCAGCACTGAGTGCTCTTAGAGACTAAATGAGTGCAATCATCTCATCCACTGTCTGTTGTCCTCCTTTTGGAGGAGCTGCAATTTGCTGCCAGCTCACCCCAGCAGCAGATGACGATGCCTTAGCTTAGTGGTCCAGGCTACAGGTTGGCACTGGGGAGGCGAGCCAGGACCCGTGCATTTCTCAGAGGCTTTCCCCATGCTGAAAAGCATGAGCTTGCTCAGCATCCTGGCCCACACCTTGCAGCACGGCCCAGAGCCCAGCAGAATTGACAGCCTTGTAGCTGTGTGTTTCATTAACGCCTCTCTGCTCTCTGTTGTTTAGATGTGGACTACTCGGATGAACACTGTCATTTGGTGAGTTCAGTGATTACGCTGCTAAGTGGTAGGTTTAATACTGAGCTGTATTTGTATCTGTGTAATCTCTCTAATCTCTTCACAACAGATTTTACCAGACTCGGAAGCAAACAAAGATGTGAAAGGAGGGGGTCACAAAGGAAAGCAGAAATTCAAAGTGAAAGAAATGTATCTGACAAAGCTGCTGTCAACCAAGGTAAACTGTAAAGGCCTTATTTTGGGGGAAGGCCGGTGTTAGGCTCGGCTGGTTTGACACAACAGAAATAGAAATTAAAGCAGAAATTACAGAGACTTCCTGCATGTATATCAGATGTTAAGGAAAAAAGTAGCCTATAAAAATCACTGTGCTAACTACAGATTATGACCATTTGCAAAGACGGACACATTTCAGGTTTTCTAATGCTGGAGTTCTGCAGTTGTTTATTACCCACACACTCTGTCTTCTCAGCAAGCACAACCATTTTTCTCAGGTTGAATTAAAAAGGTAGTTACTGAGGAAGTGAGTTTTGCCACTGAGTCCCATAGAGCAAGAATGATCCCTTCTGAGAAGACAGCTTTTGGGCAGCAGTCTCCTCACTCGCTACTGGGATTTGCCCAGTTTACAGACAACTTCCAAGGCCTGCTTTTCGCAAAATACTGACCATGAAATGAAATAATCTTTTAGGGTCTCAAATTAAGGATCCAAAATAACTAGATTAATTTTTAAAACAAGTTCCTTCCTAGGATTTATACTACGATTACCTAATTTATACCAGCGCATTCCTTAGGAATAAGCCCTGCTCACTCCCTTCAGTAATGCCATCTCATTTCTGACTTACTCGAAAGGGTTATAAAACTCTTTGCAACAGCATATTACTTAAAATATTACTCACTGCACAACACCGAGAGCTGTGCGATACAAGAAGCCCGAAGGGATGTTGATTATGGCCTTTTTGCATTTAAAAATCTATCAATCATTCTTTCATTAGATTGTTGATAGCATCTGAAGTAATCTGGAACACGACCCAAAGTGGGGGTGAAGATTGGTCATTTCTCATTAGCAGTAGAAACGAACATAAACCCTTAGGAATCGCTGGAGTAAACCAGGAATATCTCATGGTGGAAGACTGAAGTACAGAAGAAAAGATTAGGCTTGTAAGAAACAGTCCTTTTAAAGGGCTTTACATTAATCATCTCCTCCAAAGCAGGATGGTGCTCTGAACATCAGTGCTGAGACGTCCATCACTGTGAAATTCCACCCGTGATACACTGTGTACGGAAGGGAATTGCCCTGAACCGTGCCTTTCTCCACCTCTCTCGCCCATGCATGAACATAGACACTATTTGCAGAGTTTGCCATGTGAAATGAGCTGGCCAGGAGTGCACCAAGGCCCTGGGATACACTTAAATCCTTCTGGTTGAGAGGAGATTGGGCTGAACTCAGCTTCAGAACAGATGTGAAGAAAAAAAAGCACAAAACAGTGTTTTGCTTTGCTCTCCTCCTCTTACTTACCTTACTCTCTGATGGCGTCAGTGAGTCTGTCAGCAACCAAGCCCTTGCTTTTGTGAGCCACACAGCTTCACTTCTGGGTCAGAAGTACTCACTTTTCAGTTCTTCTCTCTAATATTAGTGTCTTCGTATGCCATCCAAAGCTGTTACTGTAGAATTAGATCAAGCGCCACAGCGGCTTGGCTGTGCAGTGTTGACGAGCGCATGTGTCCAACACGTGTCGCAGATGGCACCATGAAGACCAGTGTCCTGGAAAACTGCTTAAACTCCTCCTGCTCACCTCTCGCTTACTTGCAGTCACAGGTTTCAAATGCCTTTAGCAGCAGTGCAACAGCATCCAAAGGGCTGATGTTGGCTTTGTTGGAACGAGGGATTCCTTCCACCTATGGTTTGTCACAGAGTTGACCACAGTTCTCTGGTGGTACAGCGATAAGACTTGTGGCATTTGACAGCAGCTTATTATGGTCGATTTGTAGTTTCATTTTTGTTATTGATGGCCTTGTTTGCCAATAACCTATGGCCTAGGTGTTTGCCACAAGCACATTGTAGATTCTGTGTGTGGTTGCCTTGGGGCATACTCAGCTGTTTGAGACAAGAAATCCTGTCCTTTTCTCGCGTAATAATAGCACTGTTCATGTTCTTCTTTCTCAGGTTGCAATTCATTCGGTTGTTGAAAAGCTCTTCAGGAGCATTTGGAGCTTACCCAACAATAAAGCACCTGTTGCCATCAAGTACTTCTTTGACTTTCTGGATGCCCAGGCTGAGAGCAAAAAAATTACTGACCCTGATGTGGTCCACATATGGAAAACCAACAGGTATGTGTGCCCGTCTGATGCGCACAGGAGTGCCTGCGCTCTCAGAAAATGTAGTTGCAAAGATTAAACAGGTCACCTGTGAGCAGAAGAATAAGATTTTGTCGTGTCTGGGTGAAGATGTGGTTTGGCTTTGTGGATCCCGGTAATTGTAGTGTATGGATTGAGTACTGATACAAACCACCACAGCTTCCAGGACTTCTAAGTCTGCATAACTGACTTCACACTCAGAAAGGAGTATCTGCAGGTGTAGAGCATTATTTGAAGATGGAAGGGTGTCTGACTGATGTAGCCTGATGTTCCCCGGTACCTGTTTTAACCCGAATAAGCAGCCCAGACATGTGCTGCTTTCCATGAGCGCAGTGCAATTAGAACTACCATTTCAAAGCAGTTGTGCTACCCGAGTGCTTGATGTTAAAGATGCTTCCTCTTTCTCTGTCTAGTCTTCCTCTTCGCTTCTGGGTGAACATCCTGAAGAACCCCCAGTTTGTCTTTGATATTAAGAAGACTTCCCACATAGATGGCTGTTTGTCTGTAATCGCACAAGCCTTCATGGATGCCTTTTCTCTAGCAGAACAGACTCTGGGGAAGGTAATGCTGCCCTTCCAGTCTTTTGGTAACTTCTCAACCAGTATCTTCTTCAACTGTGTAATGATTTAGGGGATGAAGTCCTAGAACTGCTGACATTGGGGGCAAAACTGTCAGTGGCCAAATTAAGCTGAGTTTCCATTCCTTGCTGCTCTGTCTCACGAGACTGAAAAAATCACTGGAGTAGACAGATAGAGCTACTAGAATGTCATGTTTATAGTTAGCTCCTGCTTGTCTTCTCTACAGTTAGTTTCTGCAGTGTGTTTATAGAATATGTGGAAGAGGGTGCGAAATGTGAGGTTTTAATGATGTTTTAAAGAGTTTTTAAGCAGACATCTTGAAAGTAGTAATATTATTCAGTAAGTAGTCCAGATTTTGTGTGCCATACACCAATATGCAGAAAAGACACATGGTAAGCTACTGGGAGCTGTAAGAACACTTGGAAGAGCTTTAAAGTTTGAAACAGTTCCTTTTGCATGTATTAGGTGCTCCCTTTTTATATGCAAAATTATTTGGAGTAACAAGTCCAGAAATCTTACATTCAAAAGCTCTTTGGTACAGTGTCCAGAACTCTGGGGATGAGAAATACTTCATTTTTCCAGAGGATATTTTCCTTTTCTTTGGACCAAAGCAGGAAGCATTTGTTCGGGCTCATACTACCAAGAAAAGCAGGCTAGCAATTTTTTTAGTGTAAAAAAAATTTCTATAAAAATGGGCTTATTTCCTATGTGATCTGAACCAACTGCTCATCTGTTAAAGGTAAATAACAAATATTGTGCTTACTTATTTTAGGAGTGAAGTGTCATGAATTAAAACTACTCACCTTGCTCACTTGGTGGAAAAGCTGCAAATGTGCATGGTCTGTTGTGTTTCTGTGCTTAGCATCCATGCTGAAGCACTGTTGATACAACAGCTCCCAGTAGCCATTTGAAAAGGGATGCTGAAACCTGAGAAGCGTTTGCAATGCACCAAACGCCTTGTGGCCTTTTAGTACTAAAATGTATTTACTTTCATGACTTTTAGCCTTTTTATGTTAAAACATTCTTCAGCCACTTAGAAACCCAACATTTAAAGCATTTCTCCACACAGTGGAAACAGTAGTGACAAGGTATCACATGATGGTGTCATCTGTTCCCCAGAATTTAAACTAGAGCAGTGACAGGAAGCCACCAGCGCCCACTTGTACATTCTGAAAACATGGTTTCCAGGTGGGACTTCAGCTCCCACCACAAACATCAGCATTTCTTTCCTTGGATGAACCTGAAGCTGCCGGGTCAGTCAGTGCTGACCTGGGTTGTTGAAGCCCTGGGGAACCAAAGAGATCCCTTTGGCCACGTGTGCCTGGCTGTCAGCTCTCCCTGCTCCCAAACCCTTGAGCAAAAGGAGTAGCAGGGACCGAGGAGTTTTAGGAGAGCCTCTGCCAGGACAGGATCTAGCAAAGCTCTCTGGTGTGTGACCCTAGAGGAACTTTCTCCACAGCACTGCTGTATCCCGTACCTAAATGGAAGATCAGCCCCAAGCCCTTTGGTTCAGCTTTCCCAGTCGTTCAGGCCTGGGGAGCAGTGAGGAGAAAGTAAGAAAGAAAAGTATGTCTGAGGGACAAATGTTCATCGTTCATTGTGCCAACAGAAATAACTATATGGCAGCTGTCGTGAAACACAATGCGCTATTACTGAGGTCCTGCGTCTGTTCTTCATCTTTATTTCACAACCTTGATTCCTTGCATGTAACCACCGCAAAGAGAAATGAGTCACACAGCGAACAGACACAATTAGATGCAATTAACCATGTGGAGGTGGAACCTTAGGAAATCTGTGCTGTGAAAATTGACAAGGCTTCATATATTTTCTTTTAAGGAAGCACCAACAAATAAACTGCTCTACGCTAAGGACATTCCACTGTACAAGAAGGAGGTGAAAGCGTACTATAAAGCCATCAGGGATCTGCCAACGCTGACCACTTCAGAGGTTGAAGAATTTCTAACTCAGGAATCTAAGGTATGGTTGAGAAGTGGCAACTTCATCTGCTCTCGTGTTAAATTTCTTAAAAAGGGGAACTATCTGACCAAACTCTTTTCTGTTCTAGAAACATGAAAATGAATTTAATGAGAAAGTGGCCTTGATTGAAATCTACAGATACATAGTGAAATATTATGATGAGGTAAGCACAGCTGCTGTTCCTCCTTAACCCCTTCATGTTAGCTTGCTACCTCGGGCTTGAAAGTTGGGCTTGGCAAAGTAACCACTCTGCCCACTGCAGAGACAGCCCCCAGTGATGCACCCTTGGCTGCTCTTCCCGCTGAGCTGTGTGGGGCCAGAGCAGCACAGCCCCTGGGGCAGCTGGAGCTCCCTCCTCTCACACGAGTCACAGGCCAAATGTTTGTAAATGCACATTTACTGTCACCCCTGTATTTCACAGAGATAGCAGCAATAAAATTCTCCCTGCAGTTTTGAGAAACATCCTAGGTAGTCTAGACTTCTTGTTTTACTGTGTTTGCACAGGATCTGCTAATGCCTGTCACAACTCCTGTGCACGCGCTCCATTTCCCTGGGGATTCGGAAACCAGACTGGGCTGTAGCACCAGGGATCCCGATTTAACAGCCAGTGCAAACACCTCAGTGGAGCACCCTCAGCCTTAGAGCAAGAGGTGTCTGCTCCTTTCTCATCATAGCCCTCTTACGCTCTGCTTTAATAGTCTGGCTCTTAAAGAAAAGAAGCTATAGCTTCCAGTCCCTGCTGTTGCTAACTAACTAAATAAACCTTTTCTCAACTGGAAGCACTTAGTCACAGGCTACCTCTAAGCTGCTTTTTAAGAAATCCCTGCCCTCTGCTTTGCATGACAGGATTCTCCACTCCATTTTGCTCAGCATCCTTAACAGAGGTTGCGTGTGCCTGCACAGGGAGGCAGATAAGAGCCAGCTGGGGTGTTGCCTGAAGGCTTCGCTATGGCTTCCAGCAGGTTGTCTGGGTCTCCCAGCAACCAGACCTCTCTCTTTCATCCCCAGCAGCACAGCATCAGCGCTTGCTGTAATCATCCAGCTCTCAGTCACCCGTGAGCTGGCTCACCACTTCTCATCTCTAGCATCTCCAATTATCTGGGCTTGGCATCAAATCTTTGCCTCTTAAAAGAAGCTTGGATGATACTTGGAATGGCACCACACTTCATTAAGCTCATTAAAATTGTTGACACGGGAGACTTAAGAGCACTTTCTAATCTTAGTGCCCATTTTTGCTTTTTTGAAGCTTAGTACTGGCTAAACTTACCCCATTCTTAGAAGGCAGCTCTCCCTCGACTCTTCCCCCTCTGGCTTTTGACTGGGAGCAGCTAAACCTCATTTGTTGTTTGCTGAGACCTCAGTTGCTTTGTAAAGCTGCCAGCAAAGAGTTTTCAAACAGCAGTAATGCTCCTTCCCATCACCTGGGCCAGGGCCAAGCGGGCCAGAGGGAGAGGGCAGTTTGTTGCCCTCAGCTTACAGGGCAGAGGAAGAGAAATCAAATACCGTTTGCAGCTCTGTTCAAGGGTAAAACTGGAGCACTGCCCTTGCCTCATGCTTCAAGAGATGAACATGTGTTGGATTTGTTTTGGGGTTGTTTTTTTTTTGCTTGGCTCTGTCATTCTTCTGTGGAAGTGTTGCAGATCCTGTAATCATGATGACTTGAAAGGAAAACTACCAAAATAAAGTGTTAAAGACAGAAAAGAATGTTTACATATAGGCAGGCATTCAGATGGATTTTTCTGCCAGTAGTTATTGAAATGCAGAAAAGCAGGCTTTAAAAAACAGCAAGTAAAATAAGCACTAAAAAAAAAAAATGCTTCTCTTTTTTGCTAATTGTTAACAGATTGTCGGCAAACTCGAGCGAGAACGGGGGTTTGAAGAAGTCCAGAAACAGCTCCAGCAAGTAAAAGCCTTATTTGATGAAAAGAAAAAATGCAAATGGTTTTGAGCAGAGCACTGACTCACAGCGTCACTGTGGGGGATTTTAAATAAGCGCTACTGCTCCCAAAACTGTTTTGACTGACTCCATGTACAGGGTTTGAAACATTTGGACACTCTCTTCTGACCATTCCAAGTCATGTCTACGTTTGGGAACCAAGTACGGGCAGGGTTATGCATTTGAACGTGGGCATGTGAAAGCGAAAGCGAGTCTAACATTGGCAGGGCCAGCATTTTGAGGTACTTGAACACACATATTTCTGGTTCAAAGATACTGCCTAAGTAAGCTTGCCACTTGCTTACTTAAAACCAGGCTTGTAGGAGATGCGCAAAACATGCTACAAGTTCAGAGGTGCCCACGTGAACTTGTAAGTTGCTTAGGTCACTTTTTTTTTTGAAGAGAGCTTGAAAAGAAAGCTGTTGTTTCGCCACATCCTTTCAGCAGCCTTGGCAAACTGTGAGGTTGAGCTCCGGCTTCAGAATACGGGTTAGCTGCAGTTTCCTTCCTTCCAGACAAATGTACGCTGGTTCCTGTTTGGAAAGAGAAAAACAAAAACAGCACCAAAGTGACACTTAGGACAAGGGTGTTCAGCAGAAAAAGAGGGTCTTGAGGTTTGAAGGCCAAATGCCACATGGCAGGACTTTTTTTTCCTTAGGTTAGAAATGCCACGTGCAAAGTGAAGCCAACCACTGAGCAGGGGAAGACTTTTGGAGAAAGGCCCTAGGCCGGCATCAGTCTGTGTTTACATTTTTACCTTTCCATCCTTAAATAAGCTGTGAATCACTTGTGAGCAGCTCCACACCTGAAACCTCCATGCAGCTGCAGCACATCAGGACACGGCTGTGATTTGATGAAGCAGCTGCTGCTGACTGCACTTTGGTGCACAAACCTGCATTCAGGTGTACGAGCGGCCCCGTGCACCCATGCTAACAGCCCTGGCCATGCCTGTACATGGGCCTCACAAATCTAAAGCCAGCATATTTAATTTTTTTTCCAGGTTGTCCACACAAAGGCTTTGTAAGAAGGAGGTTTGTTTAGTAATAGGTAAGAACAGGAAGGCTGGTGTCATCTCTGGCCTTGTGTGAAAAACTGATACAAACGTGACAGCTGGGGGTGGGGAGCTGTCTGCCTTAGTCCTGCAGGGGTGGTTTTTTGGGGCTTGGGCATTTTCAGAGGAGGGCCTCCATTGCATTTGCATTGGTGGCTAAAGTTAGCCCAGCTGGAAAGCAGGTGCATGGCCACACTGCTGAGATGAGGCTGTGGCTGGGGCTGGGGGCGGCGGCTGTGGCTGTGGCTGCTGTGCAAAGCCACGGAGGAACAGCCACGGCTCTGGCTCTGCTTCTGCACCAGCACAGCGGTGCCCTCTGCTCCGGAGCAGAAATGTTTTGTTGCTGTGGTCTCTGCTTCAGTGACATGGAGGCACATGCTAAGGGTGCAGCCTGCCCTTAGAGTCAAGGTAAGGCGTTGATGAGACAGAGATACATTTACCCCTGATTCCAGAGGGTCCCACTGCTGCAGGCGAGCAGCATAGCACCGTGGCCCACACAGGGGGGAAGAGCTGTCCCCTGCCTCGGCAGTGGTGAGGGTGCGGCCTGTTAACATGGAAAAAAGGGAACACGTTGCCTACTGGTCTGCCCCCTCCCTCCCATGTGATTGCACAAGTTGTACCTCTTGCATATCATGGAGGGCAGCCACCAACCCATACTGTGATGGCTTTTGTTGTTTTTAATTCAAGTCTTACACACTTGCTGTTAAGTTTACACTTTATATTTGATGGAATGTATGGCTTTGTTCAGGAAACTGCACTACAATGTTGCAGTACTTTCAGCAGTTCTCTGCCTGGCACAATATATTTTGGTAAGTTGAAACCCCTCCCCAACCCTAACCTGTCTTGCCCTCTGTCCTAAAGGAGTGGACCATGGCTTGAGTAGCACTTGAGCTTGGAAGACCTGTACTTAAGGGCTTGATTTTTAGCATTCTTAACCTAACCTCTTAAAGCAGCATCAAATAAATAAATAAATAAATAAAAGCACAGTAATTAATATTAAAGGAGGGGTATGAGCAGATTACTCTTTCCAGACAGATGTCTCAGCAGTTCCCTTCCACTTCAGGTGTTTGCTGGCAGTGCATTTCAATGAGCTGCGATAGTTTTGTTCAACAGTAACCTTCTGTGCAGGCAGAAAAAAACACAAACCAACATTTCTGCTTGAAAAAAAGCTGTAAAATATAATCTGTTTGTGTGGGTCTGATCCTGTGAACTTCACTGTATGTGTTTATATGATGAGGAAACAAAAAAAAAAACCAGTCCTATTCTGTATTTGTACTACTGCTTGTTTGCTACAATAGCTTTAATGATTTCTAGAGATTACGTATGTGTTGAAGCAGGCCCTGGAGCTTTAGCCTATGGCCTGGAATAGGATTCTTGCCTTTTATTCAAGCCTCCTAAACAGCGTCACTCTGTTAGTAAACCATGTAAAGTCATGCTGGGACTTTGTAACCCATCAAGTGGATCTCACGAAGTGATGTGGAGTATAATTAAGTGATTGTGGCTCTTCTGGTAGGTTTGGGTCAGCACACAAGACATCAGCACACCTTCTGTGTCTCCGCAGTTCACTGTTACATGGACAAAAAAGAACCACCTCCAACTAAAGCTGTGTTATGGCAACCCAACAGTTCTAATAGCACTCTGAAATGAAAGCAAACTTCTCTTTAACTTATTTCCACATGTTTACAGGGAAACTGCTATGGCAAAGAGCGTATTTTCTAACACTAGCTTACAGAGCAGCATTCTGCAGTCATCTAGTTTGAAGTCAAATCTTACTAATGTGTAAAGTAATTCCTGTTGTACAGAAGTTAACCTGTTGTTTAAAAAATGGTTAAGTGCAAATGACAAATCCATGTTGGTGTTTGTATGGGTTTATCTAGAATAAAATGCATTTGGAGGTTATTTTGATTAACTTGTGTACTTCAGCATGGTTTAAAAAAAAACTAGCAATGCCAAGGGCGTGCAAGGGATGGAGTGTGAGACACTCATGCCAGCCCTCTGAGGCTGTTGGGGCAGGGCCACATGTGCAATCACTACCCAGTACAAACCACTTCACAGAATCACAGAACGTTAGGGATTGGAAGGGACCTCAAAAGATCATCCAGTCCAAGCCCCCTGCCGGAGCAGGAACACCCAGATGAGGTTGCACAGGAAGGCGTCCAGGCAGGTCTTGAATGTCTCCAGAGAAGGAGACTGCACAACCTCTCTGGGCAGCCTGTTCCAGTGCTCTGTCACCCTCACTGAGAAGAAGTTTCTTCTCAAATTTAAGTGGAACCTCCTGTGTTCCAGTTTGTGTCCGTTACCCCTTGTCTTACCGTTGTTTCCCTCACTGTTGAGTTTGGAAGTACAAAAAGGAGAGTACAGTGCAGCATCAGGTAATGCTGGCCCCAAACCCTGCTGATGATACTTTTAAAAAGCTAAAAACATTAAAAGCAAGGATAATCTAATAGCTGTTCTTTCAGGAGGGGTCCTGCAGGGACAGGAAACAGCCTCCTACGCAAAGACGCTGAGATGGACTGGGAGAGGGAGCCCACAAACCAGTAGCAAACCATCACTTCCTCTTGCTGTTACCCTTTTCTGCCCTCTGAGGCTTCCCCAGTTTGTACAAACACCCTCCCTGCACCCCAGCATCAGATGAAGCCTTGCTGAAGGTCAGGTAACCTGAGTCAAGTGAAGAAACATGAAGCTGCTGAGGGCCAGCTTTTTGCAACCCTTACCAATGTGTGTAAGCATTGGTGAATGTTGTTACATTTGGCAAAGCTGGCCCGGCACAGCTGGTTCCTTTTTCCAAAATGAAGCCTCCAGGAGGCAGTAGAAGCAGCTTCTGTTACTTCCAAGGGTTTTCCTCAGAGAAGTCTAACAAATGGCCCAAGAAAGTGCAGTGCACTCCTGACACGTAGGTAGTGCATGGAAATAAAAAAGGCAGCCGCCGGAGAGAAAAGTTGAATCAGTGTCACCATATGCAATGTAGTTATTCAGTTGTCTACTACTACAGACTGATAACAGCTCCAAATAAGCTATTAAAAGAAATGCACCTCTCACCATCTCATACTTTCACTGCAGTATTTTGGGATTTAAAAAAAAAATCCAAACAACAAAAAACAAACAAACAAACCCCAGATAAAATAATTTCTACATTTCCAGGAAAGTTTTCACTACCAAGTAAAAAAAAAAAAAAAAAAAAAAAAAAAGCACACTTTTTTTGAAAAACAAGTTTCTGTTATTAAACTGATAATTAAGGGGAGGGGGGGAGATATGAAATAAATACACTCAACCTTGAATAAATAATCTTATTGTTAAATAAACAAATTACAGTAGCAACAAATACAAACTTCTATTTTCATAATGTAAAGGCAATTTGTTATACTTCATCTCTACTACATTACAGTTAAAAACCCGATTGTTGCTTGTCCCAATTACAAAAAGACAAGAGGCACATGGTCAACGGTAGCAAATAAAAGTTCTCAGCACTTCTTCCATTCCATCCCAACCCCATCCATTTCACTTCACTTCATCCTCTCTACCTGCCTGGAAACTTCAAAAATCACAATCCAAATGTGGCGCATCACAGCATTGGCAACAACCAAGACAGCAGCCCAGGAAAACTCTGCATTTCTACACGAAAGGAGTAAGAGGATCTAATCAAATCAGGTTTAAAGGATTTATAAAAAAAAATAAATTATTTCTTATTTTAAATGTTAGCACAACCAAACCTTGATAAGTGTTTTTTTTTTTTAAGTTTTATGTGATAAAATTCTTTCATGTTTTGACTTCCAAATAATGTAACATCATTTATATAAAAACAATTCAAACTGTAGTTAATCTTTCAGTGCTGTTGTTTTGAACCATTATAGTTCATAATTTATGACAGTCTATCAAAAATAAATACAAACCTGCACAGCACGTATTTTATGCTATTCAGGCACATACAAGCATGGTTTTGGCAAAATATTAAAAGCACATTAAATCATAAAGGGAAGAGATGTCTAAGATCATCAAGTCCAATCATCAGCCCAACACCA